GAACTCAGAGGAAGCAATTGCTTTCTTTTGCTGGTTGGGAACTGACGAGTTGTAGTCTGATACCAGTCCGCTGTGACATGGCTTGCGGTATAGTTCATAGGATATAGATCCATCTGGTGAGACATGGACGGTCGTGTCCATGATATTGATTGAGCCAGTCAACTCCGTGGATTGGTGAGTGAATTTAATATTAGGATCGGCATTATTGAAGTGATCTAGGAAACTCTGCAGAAGTTCCGGACCGAGGTTCCACACAATGAAAACATCATCGATGTAGCGCTTGTACAGAACTGGGCTGGCAGGTGCCTACGCAAGAGCGAACTCTCTAGGTCATGCATGTACAGGATGGCAAAGGGGGGCGCTAGGTTATTGCCCATAGCCACACCATCCTTCTGGTGGTACACATGCGCTCCAAACCGGAAGTAGTTGGAGCTCAGCACATGTGCGAGGAGCTCCTTGACCTGCCCAATTCGGAAACCGAACAGATCGATGCTGCCCTCGTGTTGTCGGAGGACTCTCATGACTGCTGCAATGCCATCGTTAATCGGGATGCTAGGGTAAAGGGCCACCACATCCATAGTCACAATGATGGTGCCGGGCGGGGCCTTGAGGTTGGGAAACGCGCTCCTCATACACTGGAGTGCTTCAACAGTGTTCTCCAGGTGTGCTGGCACGAACTGGAGACATTGATTGAGGATGCGTTCGAGGACTATGGAGATGTTTGTAACTGGGCTGCCGCAGGCCGCAACGACTGGTCTGAGAGGAATATTGGACTTGTGGTCTTTTGGAAGACCGTACATTTCAGGGAAGCTGTTGTCACCCGGCATCACGGCTGTGTATAAATCCTTTTCCAAGGATCCCTCGCAAACTCGGCGGAGTATCTTTCGGGTCTCCTCCTCCCACTGGTCGATAGTAAGCTCAACTTTCTCAAACCGGGACTCGTCCGACAACAGGGATTCTGCCTTCTCCAGGTAAGTGGTCATTTTCATTGCTACAAATTTGTTGCTTTTATCAGATTTTTTTATGATGACTGACTCGTCCTTGCCGACCTTCATGAGCTGCTCACGATCAGAGTGAGACAGGTTCGGCTGCGGCACTCGCGAGTTTTTGTACAGGGCCATTGCTTCGCGCTTGAAGCTCGCCAGGCTGTACTCTTCGTCCTTGGACAGTTTAGGGCCCTGCTGGAAACCATGTGCCTTCAGGTGCCAGATCTTGGGTTCAAATTTGGCGGGACCTCCGTCAGCCATAGATGGCTGCTGTTCCGAGGACTGCCTCCACCAGCGAAGAGAGTACGCCATTCTTTCGACGCCCACCTCGACGTCTTGCATAACTCTCTGGTTGGCTTTGCCAGCCGACGGAACAAAGCCCGGCCCGAGTCTAAGGAGGTCCAGCGCCTCACTCGACACACAGTTGTCTAAGTCAAGAGCACATCCAGAGCGGTCTTGCGTCGTGACATTGTTGCGGTGACCACCTGCAGGCAGCTGGCAATGGGGGAAGACCACGAACGACTGCTGCTGGCATAGACGCTCTAGCTTAAGGGTGAGCCGTCGTCGGGAGGCAAGTCGTTCCGCATGACACACAGCATTGCACAAGGCACGTAGCCAAATATAGTCTTGCTTGGAGTACGAGCGCAGGTCGGCCCTCCGCGCCGTGAATAGTCCATAGCAGTGGGACTTCCACCGAAATTTGTCCTCGATGGCATCCCTCAGAAGGTTGCGAACATAGGCATCGCGACGGGTAGCTCTGGAAGGACGGGAACCTATCGGCTGGGGCACGCTGCGCTGAATAAAATATGGGACTAAATGTTTCCGCCGACATTGAAGCAGAAAATGCACCTGACAAAGACTCCGCTCTAGTTTCCATGCCCACTTCACGAACAACCAGGGCGTCTGAGTCCTTGAGGGGGAGAACCGTTTCAAAATTTTGAAGGACGCTTCACGCAGCTTCATTATACTTGAATTGTTTGCAGGCAACCTGCCTACACTCAAGAGAGCACTGCATTTCACACAAATCCATTGGTATCGTTACAACGTTTCGGTCTTTATGACCATCATCAGGAATGAAGTGGACATGGAAAGAACAGCAGTATAAAAGAAGGAGGCAAGCAAGCAAAGCGCGGTACATAGTGACAGCGCGCGTAGAGAAGTGCAAAGCACGTCATGGCGGGTGTGCATTACTACATATACATGACAACACAAGCACAAACGGCAAGGAAAGTAGATACTGCGCTACAGCAGTGATAACAGCCCAGTTCCAGTCTCACACCACCAGTGAGGTGTCTAGAGCCCCGCGCCACTCGCAGTAAGGTGGTGTTATAGCAGATCCCAGCCACTGTTGTTGTTAATTTCCGGGGATCGCTCCCTGATATTGATGGCCTCCCGGATCCTCCTCCTGGGGCGGTCACGCTCAGAACCGAGAACCCGGATACCTGAGAAAGCCGTTGCTCCCAATGGCAATGGGTCAGATGCATGCTTGGCCGCGAAATGCTCACCCAGCGCGGTGCCGCTCACTGTGTTGCGTGCGTCGTCGTTGTGTTCTTTTGTCCTGGTAGCGAGGCTGCGGTACGTCTCTCCGACATATTTATCACCACATTTGCACTCGAGGTGGTATACAACATTTCGCTCCGTGCATGCCCCTGAACCGGACATGCAGGCGACACAAGCAGCTTTGGGCCGCCCCCGTTTACGGGGCCTGGACGGGTCTACATACCTGCGGCATGGTGGTTTGCGGAGGGCAGACGTGCAAATCATAGAACTTAGACGGCGGTTCCTGTAAATCAGCTGGGCATTTATCTTGTACTTCTGGAGCAATTTATGAATTTTGTTGTGGATATACTCGGTGTGAAACGGTAGGTTGAGGGTGACACGGTATTCATTCTGCACTCTGACTTTGATTATTACCTTGTCAAAATTGCTGTCAGGAGCTGCTGGAGACGATAGGCAATGCAAAGCGACGTTCTAGAACACCCAAGAGAGTATTTCACGGCAATCAATTTGGTCGTGAAGGTAGTGCAAGTGCGCAGGAAGAGCAGGCCGTCGCCGATGATGAAGAAGAGGCGATCGCCACTATAGAAGCAGCAATTCTGAGAAATATATACGCAGAGTGTAGCGCCAAAAAAGATGCGAATTATGTCACCTAGTATGCAGAAGGGGGGACAGAGAGAGAGAAAAGGCGCAACTAGCACATCACGGAGGAGAAGCAGCAGAAGGTAGCGCGCATTGTGCTCTGTGAGGCCCCCCTCTGTATAGAGGTGACATAACTCGCATCAATTTATTTTTTGGCGCTACACTCTGCGTAACGCCATTCACAGAGCACAATGCGCGCTACCTTCTGAAATACGGTATTATTACAGGGTGCGACAGAGCTCTCGGCCATTGAAGAAAATGTTCATGTCCGAGCTTCATGGCGCTCGGACAAGTACGATACACAGACTCTCACTAGCTACGCAGTACACTGATTCTGGCACGTTATTTCTGCTTTGATAGTATGCATAGTGATTGATTTTCCGCGACGAATTTCTGACGCAGCATGCATGTCCCATGCGCGTCAACGGTAGTACTTCACACTTTCCCTTTCCCGCGTTATCACCTCAGCTATGCCAGTTTTGTATGTGGAAACCTTATAATAGCAGTTTGGTCTATATTTTAATCATTCAACATCTACCTTAACTGATGAGCTACATTGTACGTATTAGCGAAACAGCTGTCTGAAGGAGTTTATCAATATCGTCTACGGAAGTGTCGTCGCAATGGTGATGGTTGTGTGCAGGAGGGTCTAGTCGGCTAAAGAGCGCAGTGTAATGGTGGAGGTGACTCATCATTTTAATCGGATATAAAATTATAATATTAATAGTGCGTGCAATACTGTGTGTATAACCATTGCTGTTTCGTTGTTATGACAGCATACTGGTACATATACATGAACATAATGATATACGTACCGGAGCAGACATTGGGTAATGTCTGCAGTTGACGCTAAGCAGCTTGCCAGACATTAGCTGCGGATGCGATATTGGCACGAACCTTGTACAACTGTAGTCTGAGTTAGGCCTTGACGGATTATGCTAATATTTTCGTGAAATTATGCTTTTCGCATTGCTGAAAAAATTGCAGAATTATGCTATTTTTATGCTAAAAGTTATCATAATTATGCCGCATTATGCTCACATATGCTGCTAATGCATAATGGTTCTGTGCAAAATAACAGGGGAATTTTTTTGTAGAGGGCGTTGTACATGTACTGTAGTACCAAAAGTTCAACGGGGTCAACGCACCGTCCGACCTAGGCCTTGGCGGATAATGCTCGAAAAGGTGGCAGATTCTGCTTTTTTTGCACCGAAATTGGCAGAACCATACAAACCTTATGGCGGGCAATTCCTCGAATTCTGCTCCATTTCTTTATCCACATACCAAACATGCATGAAACTTACCAGAAAAAGTACCGAATTCTGCCAATTTTTCTGCCGGCATTATCCGCCAAGCCCTAGTCCGACCTAGCTACGACCATCACTGATTGTAGTGGACTGGACATGTTATCAAGGGAGTCGTAAACCTACAACTTACTTCCTAGTGCATCTACTTGTACTTGTACTTGTAGAACAATACATGTACAACTGTATGGAATTTGATGCGAGCAGGCGGATTATTCCAATTTTATGCGATTCGTATGCAATTCGCCTCGAATTATGCGATTATTCGATTTTGGTAGGAATTATGCGAAAAATTATGCTAGCATAATCCGTCAAGGCCTAGTCTGAGTCTGTAGTGTAGGCGCATTCAGTCAAGTGCAAAACGTCTAAAATGATTGTGTCAGAAGTGACATGTGGTAGATTTCGAGGCAGTCCTTGCCAACCACTGGACATACGAATGTACATGGCTGTGTCACAGAGGCTGGGCCAACGCGGCAACGGGGAAAACAGAGACTGACACAACTCACAAGGTGGTGCTGTTCGGCTGTCTGCATGTAGATCTACATGATGCACTGGTGAGAACAACGCAGTCACTTCACATTTCACACGCTCCGGTCAACTGTATGTATGAAGAAGGTCTCGGATTCTTCGTTCACAGAAACTCGGATTCTAGTCACATTCCAGCTTGCAGTTCAACGACAACAACAATTCTCCTTTCTATCAGTTCCTTCTCCTTGGTGCTTGCACGGCAATGGCGTACGCACAGCAAATGGACGAGGTCGTGGGACCTCCGCCACAGTACTTCGCGCAGCAGCCGAAGCAGCCAGGGATAGTACAGCAGCAAGTCGTGCAGCAGCCAATGGTGACCCAGACCACGACGAATGTGCGCGACACGTCGCTGGATGCGGCCCAGATGCAGCGCACCACCTCGCTCTCGCACACCCTGAGCGGATTCGCTGTGTTCGGCGCTCTGCTGGGTCTGTCTGTGTTCTTGCTGAACACCGTCCCTATTGGACAGGGTGTTCGTGTGTATAACAGTATTTACAACTACTACTCGAACGAGTATACATACGTCAAGGTGAACTACTATCCAGGCATTTGGTATGGATTGCTGGTGAGTACAATGCTCGTGTAACCTTCATTTTTCATTCAAACACACACCTACCGGTACTACACACCACAATATTCTTTGTTGCCATCTTCAACAGGTCCGTCAAATACTAGTAGTAGCAATAGGTTTTTCATTCGACCCGACGAGACCACACGACGCTTGCAGACCACAGCACAGCACGAACAGTTCACCAGCCACACTCCACGAAAGCAGCGTGCGGTCTCGTCGGGTCACTGAATGAAAAACCTATTACTACTACACACTACCCTATTTTGTCAAGATTAGTGTGCAGTGCGGTGCATGTCACGTGGACAACTAAAACGTTGGGCTTGAAGGCACTGGACGTGTTAAAGGGGAAGTCCGGTGAAAAATTTAAATTTCACAGTCCGTAGAGTTCGGGGCGCTGAGTCGAATGGTCTTTGTCCGAGGAGGCTGCGGCCTATGGTTCGTCAGATACGCCCAATCGAACATGCGCGAATTTGAGCGCGCCTCACCCAAATCCAGGTGATGACGTCACAGCGTGCAGCCAGGTAGCCACACCATCTAGTTGTGTACAAAATGGCCAAATTCGGAGCGCGTTCGATTGGGGAACCGTTTGTCGCAGTTTCTTCGGACCAAGACCATTCGATTCAGTGTTACAAACACTACGTACCCTGTGATTTTCAGCTCGGTAAACCTCGAGGTTGTACCGTATTTTAGCCGTTTCCGAGTTGGACTTTTTCCGTCAGCCTGCAATGGCCTCTGTAGACTATGGCTCTAGCAATGCGCTGCGTGCAGGCTAGCAGTCAACAAACTCATCACACACGGAACTACTCCCGCAGTGCCGTGCTGGGGTAGCTACAACAAGACTCGAGTCACAAGACTCAGAAAACTAGTCAACACACAGACTTGTCATGTACTACACTCGTATCAGTTCATGTAGTCAGAGAACGTGCGTTTCTCCTTGCCGGTGCCGGTGGTTGTGCTTTGAGAAAGAAAATTTTAGTTTTCCGCTCCAGTCCCACCTCATTATTTTATGCTACAGCGATGAGTGCACAACCGTGACAAGTGACAAAACAGCGAACAGCTCCCGGACCTAGAACTTTCAGATTCCATAGCGTTGCGAGCGAAGAGCCGTGCCCGTGGTTCAAAGAGCCTGCACTGTTCTCCAATTGAGTAGTCGGAAATATGCCAAGTTCGCACCAAAACATCACCATGTGCCAGGCTACTGGAGTCTAAGCGAATCGGTATGGAACAACATTTAGAGTACTCGCATCACTCTTCTCCATTTTGGCAACCCTGCTCTCCAGCGATCTGATAATTATATCAGCCTCGTCTGCAATAGCTGCTGCTTCTTCACCAGTCGGAAACTCAGTAGCGCTCACTCTTGACCGGCCCGCGCGGCCATTTCTTCAGCTGAATACCGAGGTTCTCAGCCCCAGACCAAACTCATGAAGGTCAGCCATGGCTGCATCCTCACTCTCACAAGGAGTTAGGTCTTCGGGGTCGCTTGCACCACCTAATATCAGTCGCCAAATCATTTGAAATAGCACTGACACTATTGCTTTCACGCACTCCTTTTGACCTAGCTGCACGCTATGACGTTGCGGAGGGTGTGGCGCGGCCGCATGACGTCATGGCGCAGCCCCGAAACTCAGTTTTTCAAACGGAAATATCTCGAGAACTCTTTGTCAGAGACACGTGGGACCAACACCATTCGACTCAGCGCCCAAAACTCTACCGACACTGAAATTTAAATTTTTCACCGGACTTCCCCTTTAACGTGCACGACGGTTGTTGAGAAATATAGCCAGGAAGTGGGTACGAGAATATAGCCAGGAAGTGGGTACGAGAATACAATGTGATTGAAATTCTACTTGGCCAGTTGGCTGCATGTCATTATTTCGAAATCAGCAAACTGTTTACACGACACTCTATGAATGAAAACTTTAGAATCGGCTAATTTTTCTGTACATGCATATGAGGGGTGTGTGATCTAGGGTGACCCAGCTGGTCCCCCTGCTAGGGGGAGGGAGGGAGGGGGGGGGGGGGGGGGGAGAGAGCACGGGCGCATACGTGTAAGATGGCTGGTACATGTCATTCATGGTCATTTTGTGTATGCTGAACCTAGGCCGACATTTGTTTGGGAGGTGCACGTGCAGGCTAAGCACCTGGGGACCACACAAAATCATAGTTAACTCATCATATCTGGCTAATCCAGGTTTTCCGGGACTGGGCACTACCCATAACTTTGAAATGTCCGTAACTCTGAATTGCATAAGCTTCAATTGGGGAGGGCCACATACATGTTAGTGGCATATTATGTCACCATTTCCACAAAGGTAGCAAAAGAGTAGTGAGTTTGCTATTAAAAGACAGTAAAGGGTTAAGTTAAAACTCACCGCAGGGTTCCTGGTAGACCGAGGTGCCCATAACTTCGAGGTCTGGATAAGAAAGATATGAGTGTACCAGAATCGATGCGTGTTTCTATCTCAAATATGGGAGTTCTTGCCCCCCCCCCCCCGCCCCCTGGATCCGTGGTGCGCAACTTATGATGGCTTGCTTCTCCATCCATCAATCCATCCATCCTTCCACCCATGCGCCATCCGTCTGTCCCTCCATCCATTCGTCCATCCATCCATCCACCCATGAACCCAGCCAACCGTCCATCCCTCCATCCTTCCATCCACCCATGCACGCACCAATCCTTCTACCCATCCAGCCTTGCATCCATCTCTCCATCCACACATCCATCCATCCATCCATCCACCCATGCGTCTGTCCCTCCATTCATTCGTCCATTCATCCATCCATGCATGCACGCACCCATCTATCTACCCATCCAGCCTTCCACCCATCCCTCCATCTACTCATCCATCCAACCATCCATTCAACCATCCATCCATCCATCCGTCTGGCCATCCATCCACCCATTCACCCATCCCTCCATCCGCCCACCCACCCATCAATACACCCATACATCCTGACATACATACACCCATCCATCCATTTATCACACCTAGCCATCGTTTACGTATGTCCCAAAAAAGCAAGGATGCAAGCCAGTGATTCTCTGAATGATGATATACACACTTATAATAATAACTACTGTAGCATTGAAACTTCACAACAGGAGCAACACGTTTGTTTGATACTGACCAATGGTATCATTCCTAGAATATCGGTCCTCTTCAGAATGCTGTTCGTATATCTGTCTTTCTTTACGCTTACGTCCCTCTGTCCTGGTCGCAGAACCTGTTGTCTTGCATCGGGGTGCTGGCCTTTGCGCAGAGGGCTGTGGCCAATACTCGCCAAAATGCTGATTACATTCTGAACGATGGAGCAATCCGCACATCGGTGAGTGGCGTGAATTTGTAGATAACCTTTTAAACTAGAACAGGGCCTGATTAATTAATCAACCATACGTACAGCTGCAGTGGTGTCTTCAACTCCATAGAACAGGACCTTGCATACCAAAGCAGTGGCGATGTATCATCCATCAGACTGAATGCAGATTCCGCGAATTAAATTTTGGCATTTGACCAATTTGACGTGGGACTGATTCACTCACCTCCTACCGCTTAATTAAGGAGTTGCATTTGATCCTTGAACCTTGAGGGTGGTGGCGTTCCATCAGATGGAGAAAGTGAAATCTGACTGGGTCACATGCGAGGCAAGATTAATCCTGCATTACCAAGCCAAAAGATGGATAGTTTGTTTTTAAAGATGCACTCGGAATTCATGTGAACTCGCGCATCTCCACACTGAGCGTCACCGATTGCATTACTGTATTCGCTGGCATTCGATTGTTTTTTGTTTAGTTTTAGTTTTTTTTGTATTGATGGATTCTCCACAGGCCTTCGCCTAAATCGAGGGAGTCTCCGTTAGTCTTATACTATTTGTTTGATGGAAAGACACAAACGGGAAAAGTCTGAAGAAAAAATCGACTGTCACCACCAGGACTCGAACCAGGGACCCTCGCTTGTAGCCAGCGATGCTCTAACCACTGGGCTATGGTATAGCTGTCATCCCAGCAGAGACCATTCATCATTTTCTTCAGACTTCGTAACTCACGTTTCCAGTGAATCCACACAAACTATTCCTATACTAGAAACCTTATTTTTTAATTTAGACTGTATATGAAGGATTCTCCAAAAGTAAATGGATACTTTATTGGGGGAGTTTCCTGGAAGGGTGGATGAGACAAAAGGGAAATGAAAAGGGTCTAGGGAAAATACGTGAGCATCAGGTGCAGAGCAGCATGCTATGATGGGTGCAAATGCTGTAGATTGTAGTGAAGTAAGGGGGCAGACAGATGTCACTCCACCGACCTGTGACTGTGAGGTCACAGTTTCGTTGCCATCATGCGTGCCAACACTGTATGGGATTTTTTGCAATTGGTACAGTTTGCTGAACTACTAGTATGCACAGGCAACACAGAAAATACTTTACAAAATATAAGGAATGCACAGGTCGAAGTGTGCTGGGGAGCTTGCGGCTCACTCGCACTGTAGAGATTAGACACAAGCGCACACATACTCCCACATATACATGAAAAGCCGGGATGATCTGTATCTTTCTTTCTTCATCACGCATTCTCATACATGCATCATGAGTGGACTCTCTCTTCACCTGTCTCTCTCTCTCTCTCTCTCTCTCTCTCTCTCTCTCTCTCTCTCTCTCTCTCTCTCTCTCTCTCTCTCTCTCTTTCTGTGCCTTTGGTGCTGTTGTGTCGTTCAGGGTGCATTGATGTCTACCCTCTTCGCCATCTTGTCTTGTGTTGGTATTGGCGCCATCACCTGTGCTGCCATTACCACTGTTACGCTGGATCACAGCCTGGATTGTAAGCTATTTGAAGCTATCCAATAATCTTTTGTATGTACATGCAGGTGTGTGTGTGTGTGTGTGTGTGTGTGTGTGTGTGTGTGTGTGTGTGTGTGTGTGTGTGTGTGTTAGTGTGTGTGTGTGTGTGTGTGTGTGTCTGTGTGTGTGTGTGTGCGAGTGGGGTGTTTGTTTGTATTTACGTCTGACAGCTGTCTATAAATATGACCAAGAGTAGATAAACAAGAGTGTGCAACTCCGGATCTCTCCTGCACAATCTGCAGATACCCCCGCCCACGGCGGAATTTTTTGTTGACGTCACCTTTTTTCAGAAGAATGCGCATTTTGCTGCAGAGCAGTGTGAGAGCACGTGCTGGGCACCGACTTTGTAGTGCAAATGCGGCCAAGTGCACGAGGGAAAACTTTCCGAAAGACTCATAGCGCGTGCGTCGTCGAAAAGATTACGTCAACAAAAAATTCCGCCGTGGGCCAACCCATCCGCGAGTTGCACACTCTTGTTTATCTACTCTTGATATGACCTGTGTGAATGAACGCATGTGAGTGTGTGTTTGTTTGTGTACCGCCTTGCGTATGTTAAAATGTGTGTGCCATGTGTGTGTGTTTGAGTCTGTATGGGTATGTGTGTACATGTATGTGTGTGTTTATTCCCTCGTGTGTGCATGTGTTGTACATGAAAGTGCATGGACATGTGTGTTTTGTGCTGGCATGCGTCAAAATGACTGCTTCTGGCAAACGATTCAGTAGGGAAAATACTGATGATCTCGTTTACTATGTGTTACGTTTTGCTTGCTATGATTGTGTTACATCTTGCTTGCTATTGTCATTTTCAGTTACAGACTGCACGTATAATGATGCCCTTCGCCGCTGTACGTGCAGTAACTCCTACTATGTGTCTGACGTGGACAGCTGTGATTATGCCTGGAGTAAGATACACACACACACACACACCTCAGACCTCAGACATGCCCATCGCGGAAGCGATGATAGCGAACAGCTATGTTAGACATAGCAACTTGTGCTGGGATTACACCATTCAACAGCTTGCAAGGCTTATGAATTGACCGCCACTATTTTTAGCCTGGTATCCACCACACAGCTGTTTGAAGTGACTTTTTCTGGCCAGTGAATCCCTATTTTTCATTTTTTCCATTTTTTTTACGCACACACACCACACCACATACTCAGGCATAAACTGGCTGTTGGTAACCACCCAGGAGAATGAAAGAAAAGTCAGGAAGAGTCCGAGAAAGAGAAGAAAGACGTGTGCGACCATAATCGTCGGGAATTGAACTCGCAACCTCTCGATTGGAAATCGACTGCACATACCACTGCACCATAAGGGACACACACACACACACACACACACACACACACACACATACACACACACCTGCATTCGCTTTCATGTTATTGGGTTCTATGCCCGTTTGAATTTGCGAATCAAAATAAATACAAACAAACAAACAAACAACACACACACACCATGTACATGTACGTGTACGTGTATGGATACACCCGTCGCAAGAGAAGCACGCGAATCTGCAATTGCACTGGATATGCACCCACATATTTTCAAACACACACGCACACACACACACACACACACACACACACGCACGCACACACACACACATACACGCACGCACACACACACACACACACGCACACACACACACGCACACACACACACACGCACACACACACACACACACGCACACACACACACGCACACACACACACATGCACACACACACACACACACGCACACACACACACACACACACGCACACACACACATGCACACACACACACACACACGCACACACACACACGCACACACGCACACACGCATGCATGCAACATGTGTATGCTCACAAAAACAGTCACACAGTTTCGCATTTCTGTGCATCCGGGGAATGCACATGATTAGTACGACGTGACATTTGCGTACTCTGTTCTATTTACAGACACGCTTTTTGCCGTCTACCGGGCCATCACGTCCATTTCCGCTGTCCTGGTTGTCATCGACATCATCATCGCCTCGCTGTTCTGCGGTGTGCTGTGCTGCTGCGTGATCAGCACGCCCTACCACATGGCAATGCCAATGGGTGTTGGTGCGGGGGTAAGCACACCTCACTCTTACATGTATATCCGCATGTACAGTAAAACCTGTGACTAACGACCACCCCTTGCCCTTGGGGCCAGAGAAAGCGGTCTTTAGTGGCAGGTGGTCCTTAGTTAGAGGTTTGCACCGCACAACCATAATGTGAATGTGAGACCGCCCGTGCCTGGCGAAGTGATCTGTAGTGCCAGGCTGGTTGCTAGTCACGCTGGGCTTTAGCCACAGGCTTTACTGTTGTACATGACTGCGTGTCCGTGCAGTAATTATCACAAGATCTACTCTGAAAAAAACTCAGTGGGCAGAATGATGTTTCAGCTTCAACACCGACGATTGCACGAAAACTATACCCAGGAAACATTCCAGCAAGTACAGGGAATTTGAGAGATTTTACGTTTTGACTTTAGCTGCACGTAAACTCCTGCTCATTCCTTATGGGCGGGGACCATTGCCTTCACCACATTGGGCAAGCTGAAGGAAAAAGGAGAATTCTTCAGTGCAACGTTCAACCTACATACACATGCCTCTGTGCCACATGTACATGACTGTATGTCCCTGAGCACGTGTGGACAACACTAGCACAGATCTTTTGTCGTCGCTGTACTTCAGTATATGCGGAGTCAATAAGAAGGCACCGCTTAGGAGCTGCATCTGCGCCTTGATCCTAGAGGGTGGCGGCGTTCCTACGGATGCGGAAAACTGGGCTCCCAGCCGAGTCTCATGCGAACAGTGATTTTTTAATTTTTTTAAGAAGGCACATCAGTTGCATTATGTCGGGGCCCAAATATTCAGAATATTATGATACTGTACGCAACGCAGAAGCACCCTAGTCGCACGAGATTCTATGAAGCAGCCATTTTTCTGCATGAGACGAGTCATCCACGGTTGGTGCAAGATTTCTAGAAAGTATTTATCGTCAGCATAAATTTGAGATCAATTTCTGGTGTATGTGCGTGTGCATGTGCATGTGCGTGCGTGTGTGTGCATGCATGCATGTGTGTGTGTGTGTGTGTGTGTGTGTGTGTGTGTGTGTGTGTGTGTGTGTGTGTATATTTTATTGTTCTTGACAGCAAGTGATTGTTACCCAAGTGCCAGCCCAACAGCAATTCATACAGGTAAGTACAGACAGTGTAGTACGACTAGACTGCAGTCCTGGATAAAAAAATTGGTCTGCACATCCATTCAACCTTCTTGGATGCTTACGGCATGATGCAACTTGCTGTCTGCATTGCCGCAGTATTCATTTATAACTTTATCAGGATATCACTCTACCTACAGTGCTGTCTGGGGCCGAAGAACGGCCAGCCTAGAATTTCACCAAGCCCAGGATTAGCATACCAATGTATGCACGGTGACTCAACTATGCGTAGACTGTAATACATGAAAATAAGAACGGTACAGTCGTCCCTCTCTAATCCGGCACTTTATAATCCAGCACCCTCGATAAACCAGCACAATTTTCAGTAGCCAAAATGTCCTCTTCATGCACATTGCAGCAGTAAATCAGATTTGTTAATCCAGCACCCTCCCTAATCCAGCAGATTTTCGTGGCACAAATGGTGCCGGATTATAGAGGGACCACTGTATAGGCTAGGCTAGGAGGCTGACCCCCAGTTCTTCGGCAGCCAACAGTACTGCACTGTATTATCAGAAGATTGCCTTTGATTCTCATAACTAAAAAAGCTCACACTTCGTGTAGTTGTATGTTTAGCCAGCAACGAATAGTAGTTCCAGTTCAAGTGCTATGATGTAAGGTGTAATTCCTGACATCCAGCAGTACTGAGCGACTTGTGTACATACTGTATGCTTGTGATTGACTCCTTCTTATCAGCCTGCCACAACTGCCTATATCCAGACCTACTGAGCAAGTGGTGGCATGTGCAATAGCAACAACAGGTCAGTTCCTTCTCATTCTACAAACTCTACCCGTCCGCTGTATTTAGCTAGGTCTTGGTGGTCCATTTACGGTCCATGGATGCAGTGAATGGGATTTTCGGTCTTTGACCACTTGCTGGTGAGCTGATCTACTCACCTCCCACCGCTTTAGGAGCTGTATCTGCGCCTTGATCCTTGAAGCGTGATGGCGTTCCTACGGATGCGGAAAGCCCGGCTTCCAGCCGAGCCTCACGCCAACCGTGAAATTTGGTGGTCCATCTACTTAAGGACATAACAGCAATAGTCGAGTTGGAATCGAAACCTAAAGAAAATGATCGGTGGAAATATTGATATGCTGCCATTCGGTCTTGGATTCATTATTTACATGTACACGCATGTTCCTCTGCTTTCCTTTCTATCGGATTCTTCTGTCACACATCACACTATCTCACTCTCTTCCCTAGCCAAGCGTCTGTCCAAGAGCCTGGTGGCATCAGTCACTGTTTTCCAGCATATAGCACTTAATAGGGTGATCCTGTATCAGAAAAAAAAAAGAAAAAAAAAAACTTTCACAGCCTGTGACTTCCTACCTTTGCAGGCTGGATAAAGTGTGGAGCAGAGCTGGGCCAAATTTGGTTCCAAATTCCAGTGTGCATGGATGGATGCATGAGAGCAACACATTTTCTAGACCTGATCCAATGAATCGTCTCTGTGGTGATATCTTTCCTGCAGGCGATAACCAGCCATACATCATCATCATGCTAACATGACGTCATCAGCTCGGTTATGGACCAGTATGACGTTATCAACTATGTGTTGTGAATTTGTATGATGTCCTGACCTGCTACTGTCATTACCTCTCTTATAACTCTACTTCTATGATGCTTATATGCATGCACTACACACATTCGCTCTTATGTAATTGGGCTTCGTGCCCTTCTGTTTCTGCGAATTATTACGATAACAATAATAAAAAAACAACATTATCTGCAGTCTCCTCACTGCCTCCAACAACTCCTTGCCGGGCTCCGATTCTCATTTGCCTATGCACAATGCATTTTGCACCTTTCTTATGCCAGCCCTTACAGTCTACAGTCTACAGTCTACAGTGCAAGCAGTTTTGTTGACTACACCTGTACAATGTCATGTACTTCTCTGTCAGCACTTGCTCAGTTCTTGTTGGTTCTGGTGCCCGCAAAGTTCGTGAACGGTTGAATTTTAAAATGCTCTTCGGAATCTATTTCTCTCTTTCTCTTTCTAGCTACATGTACTTTATATCTCGCTCTATCTCCGAAATGATCAAGTTGTCGTATTACAAGGTTATTCGCCTTAATGCCAATAGAACTGTGAACGGTACCATTCGGCTGTTGAATAACACAACAAACTAACTCTCGTCATCCATGCTCTCTAAAGCCCAGAGTGTATGGAGGAGCAGAGATAGTTTCTTGTTTTATACTTCAAGTACGCGGGGGAGGGGGGTTACAGCTCTGCTTCACAGCCCTCCTTTACAGCTCTGCTTCACAGCCCTGGTTCACCAACCTGCTCCACAGCCTTGTTTCACCAACCTGCTCCACAGCTCTGCTTCATAGCCCTGCTCCATAGCCCTGCTTCACAACCCTGCTTTACAACCTCGCCTCACAACCCTGGTCAAAACGGGTTTATTCAAACAAAACGACATGGAAAGAAGGAAGAAAAACCAAAGATACAGGGGATGAAACTCGACGATGAAATCAAAATGAAAATTTGAAAAAGTGTAATCCAAAAAAACTCAAGGCAGATGCAACAAGGATGTGAAAAAGATACAACTCAATCCCTGGACGAATGCTTTGAAAGATGTAAAGTGTGCATGAATGATTCACGCTAGGACTTTGGCACGCCGAGAATAACGACATAAAAAAAAAAAAAAATTAGAACTATTTGAACAGGCGGTGAGATGACAACAATTTTAAGATGGCAATGAACCGAATCAGCTGAAGCGACATGTTACGACGGTTTTATTGAAATGTAAAGTGGTGATGGATATGATAATTATTAGATATGATATTAGATTATAATAGCAATAAAGAGAACAAAGTCTGCAGTCATCGCCACAGTACAACGAAGTCATGAAAGTTTACCAGAATTAATTTTCTTGTCACATCCATCAGTGGAAAGTCGTGACTGAAGAGTAACCATGCTGAACAATGATTAAATATACATTCAATGATGTGTTACGAGAACAAAATACAGATATTAGATATGATAATATTATTGTTTTTCGCATTACAGTTCCTTCACAGTTATTTCGTTGTCCATCACCGTCTTTACATTTCAATAAAACCGTTGTAACATGTCGCTTCAGCTGATTCTGTTCATTGCCATCTTATAATAATAATATTATTAGAAGTAAAAAGGAAAACAATAGAAAGCGCAACAGTAATCCAGAAAAACACAAGCAGCTACACAAAGTCACAATCCGACTACCAGCAAAAAATATCGGACAATGGAAAGCCAAGTCTACCACAAATCGAACACAAGCACACCCAAATCTAAGCAATCATACCAGAAGCTACTCAGAAAGCTCTAACGGGACTCAAAAATACACAGCAAGAAAACATGGAGTCAATGACAAGACATGATTCGTTAATGTGGCCTGTGAGCTCAAGCACGCTCCATGACAAATTGGTGTCGGCTGGCATCCGATCCACCGCCTGGGTAAAAAGCATGCCTTACAACCATGCTTCACAGTCCTGCTTCACAGCCCTACTTTACAGCTCTGCTTCACAAATCTGCCTCACAACCCTCCTCCACAGGCCTGCTTCACAGCTCCGATTTATAGGCGTGCTTCACAGCTCTGCTTCACAGCTTTGCTCCATAGCCCTGGTTTACAGCCATGCCTCACCAGCCTGCTTCACAACCCTGCTTTACAACCTCGCCTCACAACCCTTCTTCACAACCCTCCTTCACAGCCCTGCTTCACAGCCCTGCTCCACAGCCCGGCTTCACAGCCCTGCTCCACAGCCCGGCTTCACAGCCCTGCTTCACAGCCCTGCCCCACAGCCCTGCTCCACAGCCCGGCTTCACAGCCCTGCTTCACAGCCCTGACCCACAGCCCTGCTCCACAGCCCGGCTTCACAGCCCTGCTTCACAGCCCTGCTTCACAGCCCTGCCCCACAGCCCTGCTCCACAGCCCTGTTTCACAGCCCTGCTTCACAGCCCTGCTCCACAGCCCTGTTTCACAGCCCTGCGTTACAGCCATGCTTCACCAACCTGGAAGCTGGTTCACAACCCTGCTTTAGACCCTCGCCTCACAACCCAGCTTTACAACCGGGATTCACAGTCAGGCTTCATGGCCCTGCTTCACAGCTCTGCCTCACAGCCCTGTTCCACAACCGTGCTTTACAGCTAAGCCTCACAGCCCTGCTCCACAGCCCTGCTTCACAGCCGTGCTTCACAGCCCTGCTTCACAGCCCTGCTTCACAGCTCTGCTTCACAGCCCTGCCTTACAGCCCTTGTTCACCAACCTGCTACGCAACAATGCTTTACAACCTCACTTCACAACCTTGCTCCACAGCCCTGCCTCACAGCCCTGCTCCATAGCCCTGCTTTACAGCCCTTTACAGCCCTGCTTCACCATCCTGCGTCACAGCTCTACTTCACAGCCCTGCTCCACAGCCCTGCCTCACACCCCTACTTCACAGCCCTGTTCCCCAGCTCTGCCTCACAGCCCTGCTTCACAGCCCTGCTCCATAGCCCTGCTTCACTAACATGCTTCACAACTTTGCTTCGCATCCCTGCTTCACAGCTCTGCTCCACAGCCCTGCATCACAGGCCTGCTTCCCAACTCTACTTCACACCCCTGCTGCACAGCCCTGCCTCACAGCCCTGCTTCACAGCCCTGATCCATAGCTCTGCGTAAAAGCCCTGCTTCACCAACCCGCTTTACAACCCTGCTTCACAGCCCTGCTTCACAGCTGAACCTCACCGCCCTGCTTCACAGATCTGCTTCGCAGCCTTTCCTCACAGCCCTGCTTCACAGCCCAGATCTACATCCCTGCCTCACAGCCCTGCTTCACAGCCCATCTCCACAGCCCTGCTTCACGATTTACACCCAAAACAGCGCAACCATAAACGGCGCGTGTTCATATTAGCACCCCCAGTACAGCGCGACCTAATGTGACACTGTGTCACCACAGCTCGTCTCGTCTCTTGCAGGCCCCATTTTGGCGCGACCAATTACGTTAACGTCCGAATATAAGCCAGCTCATTACACACGTGACCCATAATGTGCAGGCTCATGTTTACATAACCAGTGTTATGTACTCTTGATGTTAGTATTACCATGGTGGATATCAGGAGGAAACCCGTTCTTAAAAAAGATATGCAAAAAAAGAGAAGAAACACATGAGAACGAGTAATGTCCAAGCCATCTCGTGACTGCCCACAATTTGTTCATGGATTCGCTCCAGGCAATATCGCCATTTAATACTGAACTGCACTGTGTCCCCATTGTACATGTACATGTACTTCCTGTGAAATATCCGTCTTTTCTTTTCTCTATTTTTTCTCTTTACCAGGCGTGGGCCATCCCCTGGACTATCAAAATGAGTGCCTTATTATTTTCTTTTTCTGTTTTAATGACAGTCCATTGCAAATTACCATTTTCGGAAAACCAAAAAAATTAATAGTAAACTGTTTTTTGAGACGATCATTGCTCTTTTTGAGTTGATCATTGCCTTCTGCGACGATAATTGCTTTTTTTAGTTCATCATTGCTTTCTAGAGTTCATTATAAATTGAGTCCAGGCAATATCGCCCTTCGCTGCTGAACTGGCCATTTCGAGTTGATCATGATGTGAGTCTTTGACAAGTCGAGTGTCCATCTTTTGGGTTTGAGTGTAAATGAGTCCACCTGTATTGAGCGTGCGCGCTGACGGGGTGGTCTGTTTTGGGGATGTCCAGTTATGGGGATGGGGCTTTTGGGGGGCGCTGAAGTCAACGGCACTGTTTTGGGTCGCGCTCATGTAGGGGCATACCTGCTTCACAGCCCTGCTCCACAGCCCTGCTTCACCAACCTGCTTCACAACCCTGCTTCACAGCTCTGGTGCACAGTCCTGCTTCATGGCCTCGCTTTACAGCTCTGCTTCACAGCCCTGCTGCACAGCCCTGCCTCACAATCCTGCTTCACAGCCCTACTTCAGAACCTCGCTTCACAATCCCTGCTTCACAGCCCTCCTTTACAGCTCTGCTTCATGGCCCTGCTCCCCAGCCCTGCTTTACAGCCCTGCTCCCCAGCCCTGCTCCCCAGCCCTGCTCCCCAGCCCTGCTTTACAGCCCTGCTCCCCAGCCCTTCTTTACAGTCCTGCTTCACAGCCCTGCTTCACAACCCTGCTCTAGAACCCTACACAATCCTGCTTCACAGCTCTGCTTCACAGCCCTGCTCCACAGCCCTGCTTCACCAACCTGCTTCAAAACCCATCTTCACAGCATTGCTTCACAGCCCTGCTTCACAGCCCTGCTTCACAGCCGTGCTCCACAGCCCTCTTTTACGGGCAAATTAACACAATGGTTTAAAATGCAATAAATCATACACTGGAGAAGAAAGCAGCCCTGCTTTACATGGCTAACCCTGCTTCACAGCTCTACTTCACAGCCCTGCTTCGCAGCCCTGCCTCACAGCCCTGCTTCACAACCCTGCTCCACAGCTCTGCTTCACAACCCTTGTTCTCCAACAGGGCTTCACAACCCTGCGTCAAAACCCGGCTTCACAGCCCTGCTTCACAGCTCTGCTTCACAGCCCAGCTCGACAGCCCAGCCTCACAGCCCTGCTTCACAGCCCATCTCCACAGCCCTGCTTCACAGCCCTGTTCCACAGCCCTGCTTCACAGGTCTGCTCCACAGACCTGCCTCACAGCCTTGCTTCACAGCCCTGCTCCAGTGCACTGCTTTACAGCCCTGCTTCACAACCCTGCTTCACAGCCCTGCTCCAGTGCTCTGCTTTCCAGCCCTGCTTTCCAGCCCTCCTTCACAACCCAGCTTCACAGCCCTGCTTCACAGCTCTACTTCACAGCCCAGCTCCACAGCTCTGCCTCACAGCTCTGCCTCACAACTCTGCCTCACAGCACTGATTCACAGCCCTGCTCCACAGCCCTGCTTTACAGGGCTAGCCCTGCCTCACTACTGTAACCTGCTTCACAACCGTGATTCACAGCTCTGCTCCACAGCCCTGCCTCACAGCCTTGCTTCACAGCCCTGTTCCACAGCTCTGCTTCTCAGCCCTGCCTCACAGCCTTGCTTCACAGCCCTGCCTCACAGCCTTGCTTCACAGCCCTGTTCCACAGATCTGCTTCTCAGCCCTGTTCCACAGATCTGCTTCTC